TCTGTTTATGTGCTTCTTAGTTTAACTGTGATAACTTCTTGAATTAATGTTTTTGTTTTTTTTGTTTTTTTAGCTTCTTGTAATGTCACCTGGAATTTGTATCAAATGTTTTAAACAGAACACGACAATCCCCAAATTTGAGTCAGGTCTTAAAAAGTTATGTGTTCTTTTTTGCATTACTGCTAATTTGTAGACACCCCTATGTTTTCCTACCACAATCTGTAATAATTGAAGCTGTATCTTGACTTGGAATAAGATTAAAAAAAATTTGCCAGAATTTCCAAGAATTAATACCAAATGAACCACGATGCATATGCTTGTTCATGATATAATTAATTGACTACATTAAGTTCACTGTTGCTTCTAGTCATTTCATTTCGAAGATACAGATGAGCCAGATCAGCAATATACCAACACCTGCAGCCTGAGGGAAATGATAAGACCCAAGTCTGATAGGACCAGTGGAGCAGATAGAGTTGTTCCTGTTGAAGTCTAAAAAAAAAAAGGAAAAAAGTAATACTGCAGGAGAGGCTGAGAAATGTTTTTTCACGGCTCTTGAGCCTCAATGGGATGATTAAGGTGTGCCCTCCTGAGCTGTCCGTGGTGCTGACTGAACCAGCCATCACAAAGCCTGCTCCATGAATGGACAACATTACATTTAGAATTGAGCAGGGCTGAGGGCCTTCTTTTAATATATTAATGGCAAACCATGCAAATTAAAACAAGTAATGAATACTTTTTTAGTTGTATCTAATTTGAATACTCTTTTTGTGCTTTCTAAACTGATAAAGAAACTTAACTTATCTCTAATTTTAATGGAGTGTTCTCAATACATTGTTTTAAACCATAAAGAATGCTTTCTTGTAACTTATTATGTCTAAGTTGTTGGGCATCACAAATCAGCCCAGAACTTCCCCTAAATGAATCCTTCAATTCTTATATTTCTTGGTGATTTCTTTGATTCGTAGACAGTGAAACTGTAGCATGAAAAAGAATTTGATTTTGGGCCCTCAACTTTGGGTCTGTCCTCATTAAATGTTAAATAAGATCTTCTAAATGTATATATTTATAAAGTTAGAGTAAGAATTTGGAGTAAAGCAGCTTTTTGGTAAAGGCTATACCCCCAATCTGTATAAACTTCTTGTCTTTGCCCTATTTTATTTTTTATTAATGTTATTACATTTCTATGTGTCTTTCTAAGAGCCAACTTAATATGTGTGTCATCCTGAAATGATCATTGTGGTGCATTTCAACTGCTTTGGGCAGGCGCGCTGGAAGCTGTTTCAAGCGAGGGGGGCTGATGGCTGGGTTGGAAAACACATGACGTCATTATGTTGAGGGCTGTGGCTGACGTTTTTAACATAATATCGTAGGCCTACATTTGTCGCCAAAAACTGCCATTTAAAATGCATCCGAACAAAGCATGAACATTTTAAACTTTATTTCTTCTCTTTTAATCATTCAAAACAAACAACAGCTCCCAATCAACAGCATCAGGAAAACTTGAATAAAACATGGCCTAAATATAGCCTAAACTGAGCATTGAACGTCTTGAAAGTCCGTTCGACTATGGATATGGGGAATGATTTCATATCTGAAACAAAAAACACACACAAAAAAAAACTAATTTCATATTTTATCACTAAATAGCTTAATACAGACATAATATTTAGTGATATGCAGCCTTATTCTAGCGTAGACTTCTTCAGCCACAGGACTACGATGAATAGGCACAGCATATAGAAATAAATAACAAAATTAATAACGCTAAATAAATGCTCGGCGGCAGTATAGGGGAATTAAAACCATTTCCTACCTCGAAATAGTCAGAATACGTTTCTGCTGCCTTTTGCTAGCAATGCCTGAACGAATGTGAGGTGGTGGAAGCACTTCAGGGGGAGTAGCCTAGTTTTTTATGAAATATTAAAATAATGAATCATTAGTTCATATCTTATACACTGCCCATCATTTTAATCCCATATCAAACACAGTCTTTTAAAAAATAAATACATAAATAATTTCATGTTTTTAAGTACACTATTATGTTACTCCACAGCCCCCCACCATGGGGGGCTGATGCTATGACGAGGGAGGCTGCAGCCCCCGCAGCACCCCCCTTCCCGTGCCACTGGCTTTGGGTTGTAAATCTGTACAACCGGAACATTTACTACTAGTGCAAACATAGTAGTGGATTAGCACATAGTTAAAAGCTGAAAAAATTTTTATTTTTCATTATACTGATAATTTTTAAGTTTTTTTATTCAAAAGTGCATTCTTTCCTTTAAAGAATTTGTCTTAATTACTACAGTCCTGTTAAAAGAACCCTACATATACCAATCAGTCAGCTGATAAGATACTGTAATGGGCTTTTGAAAATATCTTATGCAACAAACTGTGTCAATCCATTGTTCCTTACTCAAGAGAAAAACATATAGTACATATTTTAAATATTTAATGATTAAAATGACATAGGATATATTCATCTTTCATGTTTTGAAATTAAATCAGAGTAAAAGTTACCTATTATCTGTCAGTCAAGTTAACCAAAAACAGGAAAACATTTGTTAAGCAGCAGAATATTAGTAGGAGAATTGTAAGGGGAATTTAGAATCTAATTTAGATGTTAACATGCACTGAGATTACTGTCCCTCTTAGATAATTTAGGAAACCTTGGATCATGATGTCTTTACTTTGTATGTTGGTGTAGATACATCTAAAGGAAATACACCAAACACCCTCCTTTCTTGACATAATAAAAAAATGTGGGCCGGAAATATCAGGAAGAGACTGGTAGACCTCCCTAAATCTGGTTTATCATCAGCTCTGAGATCAGCCACTCTTCAACACTGACTTTGTTTCCTGTAAGCCACTTTGCAACCAGTTTGGCTCTATGCTTTAGAACCAATGCAAGTAATTGCTTAATGTAAAGCATTTAGAGGCATGTAAGAAATTTCTAAACTGCATTTTTCATGCGACAGAATTTCCTCAAACTATGCATCAATCTTCTGGGTCTGATTGTGTTATCTGGTATATCGCAAATACTTTACATCTTAATATGTTCTTACAACTGCAAGTTCTCCTACACCTTTCAAAACAAACGGAAAATATGCAATAGTATGACTTCTATACCAGATAGAATCAGTGTTAATACAAAAGCCTTTCCCAAAACATAATTCAAATCCCTAAAATAAACATATTTTGATTAAGAGGAAATTATGCAAATTTCTATTTTGTTTGCTTTTTAGTCAATCTGCTTGTAATTTATTAGAAACCTTCACTGGCATCCTAAAATTGATTGTTTCTATAAATAACACTATTCTAAAGACTAAATTGCCCAATTATGTTGTTTTCATATTAAAAGAAGCCCTTTGTGAGAAGCTGATTCCATTTGTTCTAAATACACCCCAAAGTGTTCATGGAGGACTCTGCTTTAGTCATTAGATTAAAGAGGGGGGTTTTGTGCTTGCCTCTATTACCATACGAGAGGCTGTGTGTGTTTGTGTGGAGTACCTGGGGATCACAGTGAAGTGAGTGATGGCTTCGTTCATCACACCACACAGGTGCAACCCTGAATGGAGCGCCGTTAGTGTGTTGAACGCCACCGTGTTGCAGACGTGTATTTAAGTGCCTTGGAGTGTTTTTGTGTAGAAGTCATTTTTTTTAGCTGCTGGAGATCTGGGGGCTCCTTCCATAGAGAGAAGTTTGTCTTGCTCAGACAAATTCATGTTTATGTTTTCTGGGTTCTTGTTTTTTGTATCCCTGGGTTTTTTCTCAAACTTAAAACTTTAGTTGGAAAACATTTATAAAATAAATAAAATATGATTATATAAACCTTTATTGTTATTATATAAGATTATAATTGATGGCCTTGCAGGTGACGCAGTGGTTAGTGACACGACCCATGTACGGAGGCTTTAGTCTTCGAAAAGGCCGGCCCGGGTTCGAATCCTACCTGAGGTCCTTTGCTGCATGTCTCTCCCCCTCTCTCATACACCCTTTCCTGTCAGCCTACTGTCAGAAAAACAAGCCACTACTGCCACAGAAGCAAAAAAATAAAAAAGATGATAATTGTGCAGTATTATCTTTATGAGATTAGATTATTTTACTTCTGTAATTAACTTCAGTTTAATTATAACTTTCTGTATAAAGCCTAATTGAAAAAATGGATAAAAATCTTTTGGACCTTAACCTGATTGATACAGTAACCTAAAATTTAATCCATAAACATAATAAATCTCCTAAGTTCCTAGAAGTGTTGCAATTCAGACAGCCATTGAGTTTAAAGTAATCAATCCTAATTTAAAAAAAAAGTAGAAACTCTAATTTTAAATCTGTAAAGCTCTTATTTGCTGGGACCAGTTTCAGTTTATGAAGACGTCTCAATATGCAAACATATTCTAAAATGCCGGAACAAAAAATTTATTTGAACCTTCTTTCTGCGGGAGTACATTTATTTAAATTAAGAGCAGTCAGTGTCACAGTGTGTATAAAGAGCAGCTGCTATAAAGTCAGTTTTAGACAAACTGTTTTTAGTTGGCATAATTAATCACCCTGTTTTTCATTTTTTTTGTTGTCATAGACATTTCCGAATCCATGCAAAATGCATGTTCCACATCCTGCAGAGGCTGAACACTTAAAAAAAATCATAAGTGAAAACTTTGCTGGTATCTAGTATAACTCAGTTACAATAAAAGCAATTATTCTTATTCTTAAAGTCTTTTAGCTATAAGTAACTAAGTATCCTGATTGTCATAATTTGTCATCTCCATGTGATTGTAAAGGATGTTGTTACAGGCAAGATTCTACATCTTCTACAGCATCTCCTAACATGTATAAACTGGCAACTTATTTTTGTTATCTGGACTTCATAAAAGTATTTCAAATGATATTATATGAACTCTGTGTTGTTATACACCTTATTAAGGGATTTGAAAATACCAGTTTTATTTGTGTATTGTTGTTTGTTTTGTTAAAGAAAAGTCTCCATTTGTATTTCCCAGGGTACTACGGGAAAAGCTGCACTGATGCCTGTCACCTGAGTCCTTGTGAAAACGAGGCTCAGTGCCACCGCAAGCCCAGCTCTTCCCATGGATACATTTGTGACTGTGGAGACAATCACTATGGGCAGTACTGCCAGCACAGGTATACACACACACACCCACACACAGTCATGTCTTCATGACTTATGGGGGCATTTCATTGACTTACATTAATTTTATATCGCCTAACCCAGACCCTTACCCTAACTATTAACAACATATACCTAACTTGACCCCAACTCAAAGAATAGAACTTTACCATATGGGAACCAGGACTTTGGTCCCCATAAGGAAATAGGTTCCCATGACACACACACCAACATGGTTAATTGATTCAGCAAGCAAACCTGAATTTGACTGCGAGGTGTGTGAAGCATCTGAAGTACTTTGAGGTCTAAACCATTTAAGCCCAGTCAGGGTTTGTGTGTCTTGTTAGCTCCTACTCTGACTCTGAACAAGTCAAAAGCTACTCTTGGTTTTTATGTGTGTTCCTACTTTCCCGCAATGGCAGTGACTTTGACCTGAAACTGAGCACTTTGCTTCTCTGAGAAATCCATTCAGCTGATTCTTTTTCTTCTAATCTGGTCAGTCTTTTAGTGTGTATGTGTTTCAACTTTTCATCATAAAATTAATCAGAGTGTAAGTATTTTCCATAACGATGCACCTGGTTAGGCACTAATAAAGTGAACACTTTTAGTTTCTGCTGAAACATCTGTTCAGACTGAATATAGAAGGTTGATTGAATAATGATTCTAATTATCTCTAATATTTTCTGTGCGTCATGTCTTAAAATACATACATTTACATATTGCTGCATGCAAAGTTCCCTTGATTACATTAATCATACATTGTAAGAGGGAGGGATGTCAGAAACTGAAAAGAAAAAAAAAATACAGCTAGAAGATTTGCTGATGTAATTTTTTCAATACTTATGCAATTTCTCCTTTATCAAATAAAGTCTTGCTGAGGTGAAATGTCTTTTTGAGAAGGTCTTGTTGTTATTATTATTTCTGAAACTATCATGACAAATAACATAAAATGAGTTGACAGGTGAAACACGTTTCTGCCTGAGGGAAGCCTTGTATCAACATTTTTATTGTAAGGGAAGTGTTTTCTTCTTTGTTTCTGTTCTCCCATCAAAGACAATCATCAAACAAAGCGTCTTGTCTTTTTTGGTTTGGTGAGAGTAAATACTTGCTTTCTTCCTAGATCAATCTCTCACTTTCCTATTTAAAAAAAAACAAAACAAAAAAAGAAAAAACAAAAGAATTAGCTCCCCGATGTTTGAATGGAAATATAGACAACTAGTGAAAACCTGTTTTTAATGACTTAATCAACATATCGTATTATTTGACTGATAAATATTGTTTTTTCTGCTTCTTTTATGGCTGTTTTTTTTATCTTGTAGGATTGACCACCAGTGCCCTCGGGGTTGGTGGGGATCTCCCACCTGTGGACCGTGTCACTGTGATGTAAATAAAGGCTTTGACCCTGACTGCAACAAGACGAGTGGACACTGTCACTGCAAGGTAATCAAGACAAATACAAACACTTTCACAGTCTAGAGTGGCAACCTATGGATCTGTTTCCATAGAGCATGGAAAATTTATATGAAAAATGAACATATATATATATTTATATATATATATATATATATATATATATATATATATATATATAAATACATGTATAGATAGAGAAAGATGAGAGGTAGGCAAAAAAGAAACATAAGTGATTTATTATTTACATGGTAGCTAAAGCAACATCAAAACAAGTTTTAAACTAAACTTGCATTAAAGCAATTTTTTTTATCTAATAAGCAGATAAAAATCTTTGGTTAAAAATTCACCTTAAAAATAAAACTATAAAGAAATCTTTGCAATAGCTGAATGCTAACATTGCGCAGCTTTACAGACTAACCATGACCTAGTATTATATGATATCCAGTCCTGCTTTAACATAACTGTCCTTTTTTTTTTATAAATGTGCTTTAAAAAGTTTGTTTGCAGCCAGTGTGCTTAACCCAGATTTATCCTGCATTTAATCTGATGTTTTGACCACAATCTTTAATCTAGGATATTGAACTCAGCTCTGACCCGTATACACACACACAGGACACACAAAGGCAAACAACAAACTTGGATCTATATCCATCCCTGAAGAAAATATTTTATCGACCAAATTATGGTTCCTGGAGCGTCTCCAGACGTTACACAGTTGGCCCGATCAATGTCTAAGTATTGCTTTTATTTTCCTTTGTTTCTGTACTGCCCAGGGTTTCCATAATAATGATCCTCACTTCCAGCTGCGTTTTAAGAATTGTGAAAGTGGTACTTTAATGTCAAATAAATCCAGCTGATATAGGTCTTCCTCTTAATTTAATCAGCAATTCATATTATTGCTGCTTTTGTGTTGAGTTTCCAGACGAAAACTATAGTTGATTCTTTTCTGACAATCGTTGAACCTCTAAAAACAGAAAAAGAGGTGATCTAAAAGCAGAAATAGAAAGATAAAAATGGGGTGGAAATTAAGATTATAAGTTATATTTAAGTTCTGTAATAAATTGAAAAATGCTTTATTAATACCAAGGGGTAATTAGATGATCAGATTATGGTCCTATTCCCAGAAATGACTCACCTTTATTGTGCTGGATTGAATTCAATTTTCCCACATGAAATTCCACACTGTGAGTTGAACTCCAAATGGGATAAAATATGTAGATTGGATCAAAATATGATTTTCTTCTCTAAGTATGTCACAAATACTGTATGAGAGCTATAGATTTAGCTTCCAGTTCTAAGAATAAATTATGCTTGAACTCTAGAATGCCTGTAAGTTTACTTGTAACTTCTCTTGTTGCTGTAAAGCTGAGATTATTTTTAGTTCAGATCCCATTTTACAAAGAATATTTAGGTATCAAGTCGATAATACACAGAGGACAGCAGTTCATCATACTGTAGAGTAGCTGCATGACTGAGCGGACTGCTAAACAGTTTGATGTGGTTGGACATTGGCAGAAAAACAGAGCTGTTAGCTTAGCAGCGCTATGACCTGACCTGCTGGAAGCATCCATAGCTTTTTGTTTTCCTGTTAATGTTAATCACCAAGAACCAGTTTTGTGCTTTTTGTTGTTGTTGAGCATCTCTATAATAAATTCTCTAAAGCTTAACAGAACTACTAGGAGAATCGACACATGCATCACATCCAGTGAAGAAAAAACCTGTTACCTTGATACTGCAGTAGATTTTAGTGGATGAAATAAAGAAAGTTGTCTTAAAATTATATTATTATAAATATATAAATATCATGAAATTATATTATTAAGCTTAGTCTGCTTATAATATTGGTATAATAGCAAACAGTGACATTATTTAAAATCTATTTTGTTATATTTTAAAAGTAACCCACAAACACAGAAGTTGCTGCTATTTGACCACTTTTTAGAGACTTAAAGTTTGTCCAACTTTCATAGAAGCTTCACCTCCAACTAGGCCTGCATGACACCAGAAAAACTGATGCATGAAATTGTAACACTATTTGTAAATAATTTATTACTGATACTAATTACGAATTTAAACACATGTCCCTTCATCTTTTCTTTTACTTTCCTCAGTTTATGCTGATAAACTAAAAACACCTCCCTCATTATGTTCAATAACTTTGGGGTTTAAATGTGCAGTCAGTGAAAGACCTTATCTTCTCTGTACAGGAGTTTCACTATCGCAACAGAGTCTCTGACACCTGCCTCCCATGCGACTGTTACCCGGTGGGCTCCTTTTCACGATCGTGTGACCCTGAGACGGGCCAGTGTCAGTGCAGACCTGGCGTGATCGGCCGCCAGTGCAACATGTGTGACAACCCCTTTGCTGAAGTCACTAATTCAGGATGTGAAGGTGAGAAGGAAGAACAGTTTTATGTGAACCTAAGTTGGGAAACATCTGTGCTTGTTTTTATTTATCAAGCTATACTATAAATTGTTTTTACTCCAAACATTTTAATGTTTGGCATGAGCCTTTTTTCCAGATACATAACATTTTTGATGCTGTTCTCCTTGCAGTTATCTATGATGGCTGTCCAAAGACCATCACTCAGGGGATCTGGTGGCCTCGAACCAAGTTTAACCTTCCTGCCGCTGTGCCCTGCCCCAAAGGCTCTGTAGGTTAGTACACATACACACTAGTGCTGTCCAATTCTAAACCCAGCTCACTTTAAACCTCTCTAATTCTTCCTTTTTGTCTTCTTACAGGTGCAGCAATCCGACACTGTGATGTGGAGAGAGGGTGGCTGGAACCAGACCTTTATAACTGCACCTCGCCTCCATTTGTCGAACTCAACATCGCTGTATGTAGACTTTAAACTTAGACAATTTAAAAGAACAAATGTCTTCATGGTTTATGAAACATGCATTTGGGATTTTTCAGGAATACCAAATCAAGAAGGAGTTTTATTTCACAACAGTGGAATAAAACTAAAGCAAATATTTGCTTGCATTTATTTGTGAATGGCTTATTTACTATGTTGGTGTGGTATTTCTTTTTTGAAATGTAAGGAAAAGAAACAGAGATTCACCTTCTGATGTATGACAGCATCAGTTACACCTGGGCTAAAAAAAAAAAAATATTTTAAAAATCCACAAAAAAGAAAAACATTTTGGCACCGAGCACATTCACAGAAAAATGAGATGTTCTGTTCAACATATTAGGTTCAAGGATATGTTCTTGGATTATCATTTTAATAAATTACCAGGACCTTTAGTACCTTGAGCTTTTCATGTTGTATTTTTTTCTGTCAAATCTCATTAACATTTCTGAGGATAACAGTTATGCTTTTTGTCATATTTTGTTTTGTTAAGCTTGATTCCCTGGAGCGTAATGAGACGGAGCTGAACACCATCATGGAGAAAAAGCTAGCTCACCAGCTCAGGGACGTTACCGAGGCTACCAGCCGCCTCTATGGCAATGACCTGCAGATTGCTGAGCGACTCCTCTCCCGCCTCCTGACGTTTGAGACCCAACAGAGTGGCTTTGGCCTCACCGCCACTCAGGACGCACACTTCAATGAGGTCAGACACCATCTTGTGGTTGTTTTACATTTTTATTTATTTGCTTTTAATGCATAGATCTAAAGAAAAGTGCCCTTACATTGATATGTAATAGTTGTGCCTTCTGCTTGGAGTGGAGGCATACGGCTCATTGTAAAATTATTTTTAATTATAATGCCCATTAATCTCTAATATTTTATCTAAATTCCCTGAAACAATAATACTGCATGCTACTGAACACATTCTCTATCTGTCTTAGTGTCTGCCACATGCTAGAAAAGACACAAAATGAAAGAAGGCCGATGACCTGATGCTTTTTGAAACTAACTTTCTTGAATTTCGCTGCTTTTCTCTGTGATTCTCAATAAAATAGGGAAATAAGAACATCTTTGGTAAAAAGATTATTTGATTCTGGCTGTGAACGTTAAATTGCTATGAAGATTCAAGGTTATCTACTCATCAGCTATTCTATTCTAAGTTATAAAAAGCTAAGTTATAAAAAAAGGTCCTAGAGGCCAAAGCTAATAGCTACATGGTCTAAACCAACTTTAGACTCAAGAGCATTAAAGTAAATTATGCTAACTTAAGTTTGTAAAGCTATACTGCTGACCTTCACTGCACAAACTAAATATAAAAGAAGTATTTAAAATAAGTGTAATTGAAGTAGGCAAATAATATGATCTGCCAATTGAATGATAACCGTTGCTTTTAAAATAAGATAAGACAATGCAATATTTTTTTCTTATTTTAAATGTAAATTGTTTTATTCCATTGGTAAAGAGTCTCACATACCTGCTTAATTTAAGACAAAATATGTTATTTTAACAAGTTATATTTTAGATTTTGACTGCAGTGTGTTAGAACTAGCAAATGATTTACAGAACAGTTGTATTGGAACAGAGCAAAGGAAATGGAGAGTGGAGTTGGTTCCTAGTTGGTGGCCAATATATTTCCTGTGTTAAATAGTGAACATAGTGAACAAAGAGAATATCTAAAAAGCTTTTATCTTCTGATTAAATAATTAATGAATAAGTTAGGAAATGTGAAAAATTTAACAGAACTGAAGTCGCTTTAGATACTGTTATAGTCATTTTGACCAGAAAAATTTTCCATGTTTCATTCTCACTGTTGTACAATGCCAGTAGCTTTCTGGTGAAGCATCGCCCCCTAGCTCCATTTGCTGCCTAAATAATAATCGAGCTGTGTGTTAATAACCATCTAGTACAAACATGTTGAGAGTTAAATGAGGTATTCATGACTGGAGTTGGTCTAAGATGCTAGAATCCACCTTGGCCACTATTGAGGTAGCTTTTGACTTGAGTATGTCTTGTGCTGTATTTCAGGTAATCCCCATCCAAACTCCATGCCAGTAATTTATGCAGCTACAATATTGGTATATTAGTAACATATTCAGTTTAGCTGCCTCTAATGCCACAGATCTTTATGAACAAATAGAAACAAGAAGTTTGTATTTTGGACATCATTATGACGGAAAACAGGAACAAAAGTTAGAAATAATTATGATTATTTAAATAAGATTAGTCTGCAAATTTTCGCTTTGATATCGCAGCTTAATATTTTCATGTTGTTGCACCACTAACCATTTCAGTTAGCTTGCAACTACTGTAGTTTCAATGAATCCTGACTTAAAAAGCCAGAGCTATGCATTTAAAGTTTCTAATGGAAAGAAAAACATATGAAGAATAAATTGGAAACAGACTAGAGTCTCACTAAATGCTGTTTATTGTTAAAGAAAGATGTGGTTGAAGTCAGAATCAGAATCAAGTTTATTGCCAAGTAGGTTTGCACTTACAAGGAATTTGACTTGGTGTTGTTGGTGCAGACAAAAAACAAAATAAGATAGAATATATATATACACAGAAGCTATATACACACAGTAGACTGTGCGTTAATGTAACGCAGAAATCCTGAATGGAGAGAAACATTGTCCAGTGTCACGGGCGGCTCTTGGCCTTGTTGATAAGGCCGGTAGCAGATGGGAAAAAACTGTTTTTGTGGCGGGAGGTTCTGGTCCTGATGGACCGCAGCCTCCTGCCAGAGGGAAGTGACTGAAGTATGATTAGTTTTAGAGTGCAGAAATATTTTTGATTAGATGTAAATTGCATATATTTTTAGGTAATATCCTTGAGATGGAAAAAAGTGTGAAAACTACTGTACCTATCAGGTTGCTCAGACAATTCTTTCTTTTTGCTGTATAGTACTTAAATTTGTAAATTGTAACAATGCATTCAGCATATTAGACCTGTATAGCTTAACGAGATGTATAATCAGAAATTGTAGAAAACAAGAGGTTGTTTAAATCACACAAAGCACGTTTTGTTTTTTAACTAACTTCTAATTGCTCTAATTATTTGATTTCTGATTAAAAAAAGAACCTTGTTTAAATGTTTCTTCTTCATTTTACCTTGACTTATGAAAAAGCTGCTGTTTTTAACCACCACGTATGATTGATAGACTGCACAACTATGAGGGACAGAGTTGGTGACATGATATTAAAATAAGATGTCTACCTCTCTGAAATGGGAAGTGCTGCTCCTTTGGGACTGAGGTGACAGTCACTCATGAGATATTGCAACATGTCAAATAAACACGTCAAAATCTCGTTTTACCTGCTGCGACGCCGACAGCTGTGGATGCACAGTTTGAGCAGATCACAGCTGTTTGACTGACATTTCATTTGGCTCTTTCAAATTTTCAGGGTAGTTATCAAATTTAGCAGAAAGAGACTAAACAGCTGAAAAATAATCATAAAAACCCATTTTCCGTTTTGTAAGCTATCAGCTGATGCTTCAGGTATTTCCAATTTGCTTGTTGCACCGGAGACATGAAGACAGAGCCTGCTTCTTTTCATAGAGGAAATTTAAAAAAATAGTTTTCATCTTCTGCTTTATCACTGTCACTCAAACATATTTTTGCATGTCGAAGAAAATCCTAGCGTCTTTTTTTAAAGCAGAGGTGCCAGAGGTGGTATTACTAAGTCTTAAAGTATTATGCATTTTTCTTCCCACCTGGAGGATTTTTTTCACATTAGTAGCGATCCAAAACATCCGGATATTTTTCACTCTTTAATCTTTAGCCTTTCAGTTACCAGGGAGTCATTTATTCAATTTAATGAGGTCTATAATCAGAAATAAAAAGCAACAGTTTCCTCTGATTCATCCCACCTGCTTAAAATAATGAATTTTGCTTAAACTGAGGATTGTATCCATCTGTTGACAGCTGTAGCAGCAGTAGCCACACCCCTGTGGAGTGAAATGAGAGCAAAAAAAAAAAAAACTGAAACGGTTTTAATTAAATAGTAGAAGTAAAAGAAAATGATTTTTTTTTTTTATATAAAGCTGTGTTCCTGTTTTCAGTTTTACATATTTCCTTTTTTTTTTAAGTTCAACCTTTGACTTATCCTCTTACACACCATACATGTCAATAAATCTATTATTTTATCATTTATAAGATTAAATCACAGTTAATTATAGTTTGGTTCCCTCACAATGCCAAACATGCTTCATGTTGCAAAATACATGACTATTGCCTGACAAAGACAGTTTCTATGCCAACCGAGTAGCAGCATAAATTATGTCTTATACAGAGGGAAATAAAAAGTAGCAACAAAAAAAAAAAGAAACCCTCCTATCTGACATCTAATTTAACCTCCCAGTAAACCACAATTACTCCTGTTAGGGCTTCAGCTTCTTTATAGTGTCATAAACCAGCTGTGCATTGCTACAATACTGCAATGTTACCACCTTTATTGTCAATCTTTAAATCACTCTTGAACAAAAACATCAACTCAATCACATTGTAAGTTAAACCTCTACCTCCTGCTGTCTTTATGCCATCTATTTAAAGGTAATAAGTGGTTATCTTTGTAGCACAACCACAGGCAGCCTGGTTTATTCATTTGAAAAGTGCCAAGAATATACATCTGATAACAGTTGACACCCTACTTTAGACGACAGCTATTAGGCAACATGAGCAGGTAATGCAGAGGACAGTTTCTATAGTAACACGATGGAGGTAGCAGATATTTGTGGCTGCAGGAAAAATGACTAAAGGCAGGGAGGACGATAGAGTTTTCTCATAGGGAATATGGCACTGTATGAAAATAGATGGAAAACATTTAATCTTCAAACAGTGATTAAAAACGGGGGTTTGTAAAATGCTGTAAATTGAGCTTTTTAAGTAGGTTCGCTGTTAAACTGTGACTGATGATTTCATAGTTTTTTAAAAACAATTGAAAGTGTAATCATTGCCATAGTCACTCTGAACAAATACATTTATTAGGTCCTGGTGTTGCATATCAGGTACAGCAATGCTGTTGGCATTATAACGTTTATTAAATATTAATTTAGTATATTAGGTTAATTCATTTGTATAAGTTGTGTTTCTAGCAAACATGCAAAAGATAGTTGATTAAAATGTGTTTCTTCAGAAAACATGAATATGATGCCTTTTTTGCCTTTTTTTTCTGGCAGGTGTGGTTTGGCAGACTAACATTTATTATAGAATAGAATAGAATTCGACTGTCACAAGTAGAGAGCAACATAATAATTTATATTTACTATTAAATGAATAATGTTTTACAGGCTAGGGAAGCATGATGAAATAATAACCGTCTATGGGCTGCTACTTTCAGCCTGCTTGTATGCACATCTTCGGCTCTTTATACTTTTGTGATGTGTTCATACATTCCTGTTTCTATAATTGTCTAATTCTATGTCTGTCCCCATGACAAAACACTTGAAATCCTTCCCTTTGTTTAATTTAATGGTATTTTTCATACTTTTCTATGGATCTCTGACAGTGGATTCAATCCGTTCAGGTTTAATCAGATTAAGTATTTTAGGTTTTGATTAAGAGGTGTTCTAAAACATGTCAGCCTAATTCAAAAAGGGGAAATACTTACAATTTTAGCACTAATAGGAAGTTGAAAAGATGGATCAGGTTTTAGACTCAGGTTTAACTCTCTTAAAAAAATGAAAATAAAAGCTAATAGCTACACT